CCCCCCCCCCCCCCCCCCCCCCCCCCCCCCCCCCCCCCCTCCCCCCATCCCTGCTGCTCCTCCCCCTCCTCACCTGTTGCATCTGGTTTCCCTCTCATTCTGTCGTAGTTGTCAAAAAATCTTCAGGGAAATCTCTCTTCTTGTCTGAGATGTATTGACTTGTGCGTCCTGCTGAACCAATGTGTTTACATTCAGCGATTTTTAAATTGGCTGTGTGTGAGCAAGGTGCTGTCAGTGGGAGGGAGGGCTGTGATTGGTCGAGGGGCTGATTGTTATTCCACCTGAAAAAAAACATTCCAATCTAAAAAATCAAAAAACTGTGGACTTCCTCAACCTCAACACTCCTCCTGCCATAGCACCACATCCGCATCCTGCCCCCCCACCTACCCCCCACCCCCACCACCACAACATGGCAGCATGCTGCCCCGAAACCAGCCGTCTGCATCTCACCGCTCAGCAGCTCTGCATGGTACTGGAGACCACTCGGTCCACTCGGTGGTGTAAAAGACCGGAGACTCCGAGTGAATTCGATCTTTTTCTTTAATTATAACTTTTTGCTCGGGGTGAGTTCAGGCAGATAGAAGGGGCGGCTGTGTGTGTCAGTGTGTGAGCATGGCCTTACATCCTAATCTGAGCATGGCTATCTGAAGCCTCCAGTGTGACCTGCCTTCCTGTCTAGTGATCTTAACGTGTTTTTTAATGGGCTGAATTATCAAGCTAGCACCACTGAGTTTCGGAGCGCCTCTGCTAACCCGGCACGTAGTGCGGCATCACCGCAGAGTGGAGCTGAAAACAGGATGAGGATCATTTCTTCCTTCCACCTGTTTTATCATGCATCCAAAGTGATCGGACTGTGATCAGACCCAGCAGCAACAACAAAAAGATTGTGTTTCGTTTGTTTACGGGAGACCCATTTGTTCGTTAAATGTGGCTTAAATAATCCCGTTAATTCTCATTCAGCTAACTTGGTCCTTGGATCCGTGTTGAATAGTGATGCGCTCTTATTTTGAAATATAGACAGCATGATCAGAGCGGAATGCGGATCACATGATCGTTCTCATGATAGGCTGCTGAAATGGCACCGCAGCTGCTCAGTAGTTAAAGGATTAGTCTGTCAAATCCCATGAAAAGACCACAACCAGCACTGGACTGATCCCACCAGTATATCAGCAGTATGTCTTATTCCATTGGCCAAAACTATTGAAAACACATCAATGTGTTGCACTGGGTAACATTTGACACTCTACTCTCACATACTGTCCACCATCCTGCTGATGTAAATACTTACAAGTGCTCCAAATAAATCTATCTATCTATCTATCGAAAATAGTCCTTACCACATTCACTTTTTTTACTCGTGTTAAACATTTGTTAAAAACAACGGTGCCCATCCTCATCCTAACTATCAATGAGCCTGCCTCAGGTTTGAGCTCCAGATAAACCTTAAAACAGCGTTGAATTCATAATAAATCTAGACTTGTATCACATGTTTGACAATCAAATCAAGCTAACTCTGTTTTCCATGCATGAAGAACGGGGCCGAGTGCAAAGATAGCGGCTCGTATGCAGAGGAGACTCGAGGTAACTGTAGGTGTGGAGAGGCAGTGACTTGTCTGTGCTTCCCTGCAGGAACTGCGGTAACGTGTTCTGTGCCAGCTGTTGCGACCAGAAGATCCCAGTGCCAAGCCAGCAGCTGTTCGAGCCCAGCCGCGTCTGCAAGACCTGCTACGGCAGCCTCAAGCTGTGCCCGGCTCCCCTGGACCTGGACCTGGAGAAACCCATCACAGCCAGCTCCAACTGAGCTTCAGAGCAGCGGGACAGGATGAGCAGCCGGCCGCCGGCACCGGCGCACCGCTGAAGAAGAAGCGCACAGGAGCTACACAGAATGTCCCATGTACTTTGTGTGTGTGCGCGTGTGCGTGTGCGTGTGCGTGTGCGTGTGTGTGTGTGTGTGTGTGTGTGCGCGTGCGCCGCAGAGATGGAATTTAATGTGTATATACAGATGATGCGGCGGAGGAGCTGAATGACGTGTTGGTGAGATGCTGAGCGCTCTGAAAAGTGGGTGTGCACAGGAGGAGGTGTGTGAGTGTGTGTGTGTGTGTGTGTGTGTGTGTGTGTGTGTGAGTGTAATGCACACATTTGCCACACAGATGGTTTGTGGCAGTGACGGGACGCCACTCTGAGGAGTGAGAATGGACATGCTGGTGCCTTGGACCAGGCAGGCAGAGGAGGTGGTCTCACTGTGTTTGCTGAAGTCTCTCGGAGGACTTTGGTCTGTTGAATCATTTAGCAGCTCGTCGGACTCTTACGCACCATCATCTCAAAGCTTGGACTCTTTACTTTGGAGGACGTAGGATCAGTAGCCACATGGAACATCTCCAGAGACGGTCCCTCAGCTTTAGAAATGTCTGGATAGCTGATATTTCACAGATGTTGTTTAGGCAACGCTTTAAGGGTCAGTTCACCCAAATTGCAACACTATGTTACCTCACTTAGCTCTCGTGGTATCCAACCGTGACGCACATCTCATTTCAGTTCGTTTTGGGATCTCATTTCTGAGATTTCTGCTGCCACACGGAGACAGTGGAGCTGCTCCTGTTGTTTTCAATTGTTAATAAGTCATCAGATCATTTTACCAGTTAATCAATTCATATTTTCTTTCTGTAATATATCAGAATATAGTGAAATATGACCATTATATTGTCTAAGAGGCCACACTGCTTGTTTTGTCCGACTAACGGTCCAAAACTAAAAGATATTCAATTATATAACAAATATATAAAGTTTCATTTCTTTACATTTGAGAACCTGAAACCAGAGGGTGTTTTCTGCAGTTTGACTATTCGATTATAAAATAACTAATTGTTGTTTGTGGCTCACAGTGCTGAAGAATTTCGGAAGCAGTACGCCACCGATTTAGTATTGAACCTCCGATATATCTTGACTTTTAGTCCCCTAGTGTGGTTCAGGGTCCAACAATGCAACTCAGTCGTGTCTTTAAACTGGATCCTTCCTACCTACCCTGATGACGTCACTATGACGTCATCAGGGTTATATTATTTTATATTTTTTAGACTTGATCAATACCCTCCTGAGCCACAGAAGACATTATACAACTTGTCAGCTGTATGCCTCATGATAAGTAAACTGATTTTATGTGAAGAATTGATGAAGTGCTCCTTTACAAAATTCATTGGACTCATTACTGGATCATCCACAATCTAGTAATTTTGGTGAACTGACCCTTTAAAATGCTCTGGGCTGAATCTCAACTTGCATATTTGGAAAGAAATAGAAGAAAGAAAATATATATTGGCGTGTTTGTGTTACTGTGTTGAGATTCAGCCCAGAGGACGTTAGAATCCTCAAAGTTAAGCTTTTTGAGGATTTTTTTATTCTCTCAAAGTACTTTACTTCTTTTGAGTACTTATCTCGTTCACAGCGAGGAGAGTTTATTATCTTTGAACAGAATCACCCACGTGAGTCTTAAAACAGGACTAGTTAGTTAAAAACATGTGACCCTTTAACAGCTGACGGCCGCTCGGCTCTTCCTGCTGACAGACTGTTACTAAGCTGATGTGTTGCGGCGTCGTCACTGTGTGTCAGACGCAGACTGACCGGCGGAGCAATCTCTCCTGTTGGCCATACCATCACGCCCTTCACTCACAACAGCCCTGGTTTTTAGTGTTTTTACCCAGCAGGCACTGGGAGCTGAGCGTCACTTTTCAGTCTCTCAGTGGAAATCACTAGTACAGCTGTGAATTTGACACATTTAACTTCCATGTTCAAATTTCCGAAGGAAACGCATTCTCATTTTTATTTAATGTAATTGTTTTCTCGAGGCTGCCGTAGACTGTGACCTCACTTGTGATCTCCGCTGCGATTGGCTGAGAAATCGAGGAGAGCAGCGGCAACAGAAAGGGCTCTTGTTTTTAAAAGTCTGTAACTCCCTCATGAAATATGTTAGAGAAGCTTCACCGAGACACCCGCTCTGCCTAACACCCATTCAATGACCTCCTTACACACACACACACACACACACACACACACACACACACACACACACTCTGTTTTGTAAAATAAATGAATAAAATAATATATTCAGATACCTATATAGCGTTTAAGAAAAATGTATAGAATCCTTGATTAGTGGCTCACTTAATTAGTCACCAAAAAGTTTTTTTTATTTTTATTTCTTTGTTTTCTTGTTATTAATTGCAGAAAAAAAAGTATATTTTGCGACCTGTTGAAGATAACGTGTTTTTTTTTTAATAGCGACGCAGGGTGTCCTGTTTTGATGCTGCAGTGGTTTTCCCTCTGAAATGCGATCGTTATTTTTGATTTAATTTATTCAAGGTTTGTTGCTGTTTGAAATCCAGACAATTCAAATGCCACAGGATAATCAGTGTGTGTTGAGAGGAGGAGTGAGAGATGGTTCTGATCCGAGGCTACAGCGACACTCGACGTCATTTCTGTTTTGTATCAGCCAATGGCAGGAGGACTCGTGGCTCTAACCATTTCCATATTAGGAGGAGAAGGGGTTAAGTCAGAGCGTCACGTGACCTCCGACGATCACGTTTGAGACTGAGAATGAAACGAGTGCGTCGGTAGCCAATGAGAAGTCGATGCACTGAGAGAACGGTAGTCCAAAACAAACAGCCTAAACCCAAAATAAAAGCCCCCCCTCAACTCACCCACACACACATTGCTCCATACAAAGTCATCTACAAACACTACCTCTACTTTGTGCACACACAGATTCCCACTGAGCTTCTAGTTGCCGAGTGACTTTCCACATCTACATCATTGGGAACGGCCTTTGTTGTTATCATTGAATTATTATTTGTCCCCCTTAGTCAGCTGGAGAATTAAAGGTACAGCACACAGTCAGACGTTCATTTTAATCGTCATCTTGTTGTTGAGAATGACAATCTTTTCATCTTTCTTCCTCCTCATCAGCTTGTCGGGTCAGCAGAGAACGGCCCACTTGTGCTTCGGGATGATAAAGTTTTGATTATCGGAGGAAATGCATAACTGTGATTCATGACAGCATGTTACTATTCAATCGTACTCGAGCTTATATCACCGATCATATCTCCTGTTGGATTTAAATCAGCAGATGATTGAAGTGTGCAGTGGAGCTGATGTTGAAAGGTGGTTTTTCTCACTGTCCTGTGGAAGTGGTGTTTAAATCAAAAGCTGGACTCCCAGTCTCTTAAACAGAACGGAAAATAGGAATTTGTTTGGCCCCTTATTTTTGTAAATGTAATATTTACTTGTGATGAGCAACAAGAGTGGCATTAACTGTTCAAACACTCATACTACTGCATTAAACGTGCAGGAAATTCAAATTTTGGTTCGACGCAGACCAGCCTCTCTAATCTGATCTGTGTTTTGATATCTGAAGAAATTTAGATTAACTGATCTTCAACCAGAATATAGACTTAACATCCAACGATTATAATGTTGATGTGAAGCTGGCTTGTTATTCTAGATCAGTGCTCCTATTAACGGATGATTTATTCCAAGTGTCTATGTTGTAAATGTTGACGGATAACGTTTGCCATCACTTCATGATCTCTTAAATATAGACTGAAACGGTACCAAAAGACTAAATTTGGCTATAATGAGATGCGTAATGTCCCTTGAAGTCCAAAGCTTTTTCCCTTCCCCTGTAAACACATCGGCAGGCGGCAGCATGACTCCTTACTCTGTATCGTCACCACCATCACAGGCATGTGGGGCACCAAGCTTGTCTTGTTCAACAACCCATGAATGTGAATTCTCTAAAAAAGATAGAAAAAAGGCTATTTTTTGCACGTCATTAAGACAACACTGCCTCAGAGTGCATCAAAATAAAGGTGAAACTGAACGTGTGCTGTGCTTTTCAGTATTGTGACGAGCATCATGGTTGGTGGTTGTATGTGCGTGGGAGGGTCAGGGTCACGTGGTGAACAGGTCATCGGATAACGTCACCAGTATGATCCCTTGCTGTGCTTTCTTTTCCTCTCTTGGTCTGCATGCGTTTTATTTCTCTTCTCACGCTGACGTGCGCCATCCGGTAATCACGCGAGTGTGTACGTGTGAATGCATCGAGCATTGGTGTGTGTGTGTCTCTCTTTTGGTGGAGACTGGTGCCAAGCAGTTTTATTACCCCCCCCCCCCCTCCTGTTTGATAAGCACTTTGAACCTTCTCATGTCTGTCAGAGGAGTGTGTAGCTGTACATAGCGATTTCCTGTAACAACAAGTGCTCCTTGTTCAGTCTGAATATTTTTGTTTTGTCAGATTTGCTTTAAAGAGCATTACATTGTTGTAGAATTAAAGGAAAAATAAACTAGATAAACCGACTGTGTGGTCTGCTAGCAGCACCTGATATCTGCTCTCACTGATTAACGCTGAACACACACAAAGAAGGAAGACACTTCAATCATGTTTAATGCATGTAGTAGTATACATCTCTAAAAATCAAGAAAATCTTAAGTTACTGTCTAACATCAACGTCTACTTATTGAATGCAAATTCAAGTGAATACGTAACGGAAAAAGAACAACTGAGAGAATCCAGATCGAAAAGCGACGAGTGCTGCTTTAAGTTAGTCATGCTCACTGTTGTGACGGACGGATGTGGTCCTACCGGCTCTAAAGGAACGATACTAGAAAGTGACGACCCCTGACGATTACTAGACTTCAAATCACTGCACAGAAACGGGACATCTGTACCATAATCAGCAGCAGCGGACTCGGAGCAAGCGGAGGCAGCGACGGCCGGCAGGACGTCCGGCATCGGAGGCAGAGCTGCACGTTTCTTGATCTTAGGTTTGCTCAAAACAACACGAGGAACACTTGGAGCAGAACATTGCTGAATAATTGTTTCACAAAGTATGGCCGGACGACGACTGTCAAAGCAATTAGATATTATTAAAAAGGCTGATCCAAAGAAAGAAGATGTAACAAGAACAAGCGTTTAACTCCTGTTCAAATCCAATCTCATGTGCAAAGTCTTGCCTCCTCAGACCTCTTTATCATCATGAACTTCAGATTCTAATGAAATATTGATATATTTCGTAACCAACGACATTAATCTCCCTGCGACGTGTTTAGAAACTCATTTTTAAAAAAAATAGACATGGCTTCACCAGCCGACTATTCCCCTTTCTCTATAAAAACTCAGACAGCAATATTTACAACTTTGAGTACATATCATAAAGTAGATTATCTCGGATCTGTAGATCAGCGTAGGTTCCCTGCCACCAAATCTGCTGTGGGATTTCTCCCATGAAAGCACACATCAGAAAAAGAGGATTGTCGCAGGAGACGTCTCCCAGTGCAGGTTTATGGGCTATTGGACGAGGAACTGAGACTGCACTATGTACAGGCAATGGGGCCGACATTCAGCCTGAGTGACGTGTGTTTGTGTTCATGTATGTGTGCTTGCACTCAGGGGTGGATCAAGAGTTTCCCATAGTTTCTCTTCAATCTCCAGTCAGGAGCAGCGTGGAACTGGATTCACACCGATGACTGATCCCACACCTGCAAGACAAAAGGTTCAACTTTCAGTTCTGACACTTTCAAATTATGACATCGATGTACTGTGTGAATATCTACAAATGTCTCGAGGTCTAACTGAAATACAAATACAGTCGAGTTCGCATATTCATATTACATCCTCTTGTTCTATTCAATTCATAGTTATAGGTTTTTGTAATTTAATTATATAGTTTCACATCAGAGCAGAGTGTTTTTACCTAAATAAAGATTCCCCCCATTTGGGATTAGTTTTAAAAAACATTCACAGGTAAACAAATTGTGATAAGACTAACGGGAGTAATTAGTGCATTTGTTGGGGACTATTGTCACAGTATAATATATACAAATATTATTTATTTATTAAAAAAGTCATATGAGATGTCAAGAAAAACGTGAAATAGTATTTGGAAAAAAGTCAGGAAAAGTCATAATATAGTTGGCATATCTAAGTTTTTAAAAAACGTCATAGTATAGAATGTTGAAAAAAAACATGGCATAGCATTTAAAAAGTAATATAAAGTCATTGTTTAGCATGCAAAAAGTCAGAAAAGGTCATAGTATAGTTTGTCAAAAATTGTCATTAACAATTCATGAATTCATCATAGTAAAGCATATCTAAAAAATGTCAAAAAGTCATGGTATAGTATGTTGATTGAAGTAAATAAATGTTTACTGTGTCGAAGAAAGTCATGAATCAGTCAGTGTAGAAAACAAATTCATAGAGCCATGTCAATATAACAGTTTTAAAAAAGTAATCGAAAAAAACATGGAATAGTATTTCAAAAAAAGTCATGGTACATAAAGTATATCGACATAATTCATGAATTCATCATAGTATAGCACATCTAAAAAGCATAGTATGGAGAAAGAAATCGTTAAAAGTCAGTACAGAATGGTTAAATAAGTCAGTATAGTATGTTGAATAAAGTCATGAAAAAAGTCATAAATCCGTCAAAAAAAAAGAAATGTTGAGGAAAAAGTCACAGCATAGTATATCAACGAAATTCATAAAAAAGACATATACTATGTTGAAAAAAGTCATAAAAAATAGTCATCGTATAGAATGAAAAAAAAAAAGTCATAAATCAGTTATATTATAGCATGGGAAAAAAACATGAAAAAGTCATAGTATACTATCTCATATAAAAGTCAGTCAAAGTTTACCATAACAACACATATAAGTGCATGCACATGTGTAGTAATGGAACCTTTGTGTGTTGCAGGACATTGGTATTTGCTGCAGTTGATAGTTGAGAGAGACATGAAGCAAGGGATGAAAGAGGGACATGACCACACCAAGGATATTCAGTTGTACGCTCTACAGCGTAGCCACCAGGACACCCCTACATTACCTTGTTAACAGGGGCGAGCTGTGTTCGGACAGATCCAGCATGAAGTCGGCTGCTGTCTCCGAACCTCCCAGGTGACCTCTCCCTGCGACTGTCGAGCACTCTGCCCGGCGACTTTTCCCTGTCCAGCGGTCGGGCGGGAGACTTGTCCCGTCTGAACTCGGTGCGGCCCTCCCGGTACCGATGTGGAGTGCTGGGCTCCCGATGCAGGCCGTCATGGCTACCAGGGCCCGAGGTCAAACGCTTGGTGATGTGCTCAGTGTAGGTGGGTGGGCCTCGCTTACTGGGACTGCTGTAGAAACAAAGCAAAGAGCAGCATCTCGCAAGAGTGTTTGACAATGTTATTGGGGAAAACCAGCTGTCGGTAAGAAACAAGAAGATTTGATATGTACACAGCAGATGGCACTGTTGGCCTATCCAATAAAAACAATAGTGTTTTCTACCTGTGAATTTGAACTGCAAAGTGTTTTGAGGTAACATGTTTTTGTTAGTGTTTTGTAGGTGTTTAAGTGTTTTTAATCCACCCACACACATACATATTGTCTCTCTCTTTGGTTGTGTTTATTTGTTGCTCAAACTAAGGAAGGGAGCTGACCCTCTGCTGGAGCCGGTCCTCTGCAGCTCTCCAGTTTCTCTGATCAGACTTCCCTTACAGCAGATGACCCGCAGTTTGTTCTGGTAGGAGGAGGCCAGGTAAATGGCCCCAGAGGAGATGGCTGGGCCAAGGTAGCGTGGGTTGGGGATGTCCAGGTGAGCCAACACTGTAGGACTGGAAGTATAGACAGTGATGTGAGAAATACAGCTCACACCCAAAATCTTAACTTTGTCAAATTTAGGCCGAGGAAGCCAAGTCCGTCTCACCCAAGAGAAGCATGTCCCTGAACCTCAATGACGTCCAATGAGTTGAAGTAGGTGAGAAACAGGTAGGGCTCTCTGTAGGCTGCACCAGGGGAAAACAAATATAACAATGTGATGCCATATTGCTGATTGCTGATTGATCAAAAAGCAGTAGAAGTTAACAAATGTATTTACCAAAGGACAGAGGCAGTCGACTCCACTTAATGTCCTCAGTGCGGCTTCTTCGTCCGTACGTGTCCACAAACACTCCAAACTCTGTCACATACATAAAGCTTACGATACACTCCTCTGTGCTGATGTGTCAAAACTCAAGACAGTACAGTGTCACTGACAGTGGCCATTAAAAGAAATCCGAAAGATAAGGGTCACCCTCCTTTGCAAAGTAAGATTTTATGACTTGCATTTTTAGTATAGGTAAGAAACTATTAATGTGTGTGGAGTAGTTGTGCATTCAAACACACCGTGAAAACACAGCAGGTATTCCTCCTTCTGCATGCTGCTGGCCACCTGCATAATGGCGATGGGGAAACTGTGGGACGAGGCTGCAAACACTGCTGAGGCGAGAGACACGTCGTTCTTGTCCAGGAACTCTGCGGTGGATCAAAACACTATGTTGAAATGATACGGCTTATTGACATATTAAGTCAAATGATTCTTAAAGTGTATCCTGTGATTGTCTGGTACCTAATTATATTATATTATTGTATTATGTTTTTCAAGCAGGTAAATCATAAAAAGAGCAAACTTTTGCACACCAGTAGGTCAACAGGTAAGTAGGAGAAACTTGCATTCAGAGATATTTAGTGACAACCAAAATATCTCTGAATGCAAGTGAAGCAAACAGTTTGAAGGTGTTTTATATAAGCAGGTAAATCATAAAATAAAGCAATAGCTTCCACATAATCTGATCAAGGTCTGTGTCACGTTCCTGCAAGAAATAACAGAAAAGTTTGGGATTTTTTGGTGATATTCTACTTGTGTCGTCCTCACCATCGAGCACAAACTGCTTCATCTCAATCTCGTAGAACTTGTTGGTGCCGATGATGATGCTGTAGCTGGTCAGATGGATGCAGCTGCAGGGCTCCAGAGTTTCAATCTCCTGTGAGATGAAGAATGGAGACATGAGTGACCAACAACACTTTGGGCTATTTATAAACCTGTATCATGACACACGGTCTCCACTATTTAGTACTTTTTATTCTCTATTTATTAACATAGGAATAAATGAATGTGATCCTGACACGTTTAACTAAGAAGAACATGCAAATGATCTGCCGCTCTTCTGATTGGGAGCGTATCTATGTTCCAAGGGTCCTATGTTCCCCAGTTTAATATTCTGTTAACACATATTAACACTCCTCCTTATGTTGGGTATGTTGTACAAAACTACCCCGAATGTTTTATTGCTGCATGCCATACTATTAAAAAACGATGTTCTCTGTTGGTGAGATTTTACCCTATTTTTGATGACATTTTCAACAGCAAGGTAAATGTGGCGGTTTTATGTTGTGAGGGACTCATTTTCCCAGGGCCCAATATTCAACTCTATGCTATCTTACTTTGTACGAGGTCCCACAACAGCCATTGTCATATTAAGCCAATACAGACCTTGGAAAAATGTCTTACAGGTTCCAATTATGTGCTGTATGGAGCTGGGGAACATAGGACCCTGGGAACATAGGACCCTGGGAGAGCACATATGCAGAACTGGGGAACATCTTTTTCAGGTTCCAGTTATGTGCTGTATAGCTGGGGAACATAGGACCCTTGGAACATAGGAACATGTGAATATAGGACCCTGGGTGAGACTAAATGTAGAACTGGGGAACACACAGTAGGTAGCTGGGAATGACCCCTTCTGTTTTGGGGTAACATTTCACCTTTTATTCTAATTCTCAAAACTCAGGCAGTTTTTCTTAACCTGATTACACCCTTCTTTTTATTGTGTTGGTTGCTGTTCCAGTATTGTGTTTTCTGCCACTGTATGTTAGGATGTGATGTGTTGTGAACAAAGGGAACAAACGGGTCATACTCACCTTACGAATGCAGTATTTGTTGAGATTGTCGTTGTAGCGCAGAATGGTTATCTTGTTGGGCATAGCAGCACATATACAAGGTCCGTTGTCTATCTGTAAACAGAAGGCAGATCTCAGTTTCTAAAGTCGCATTTTTCCACCAACACAAAAAAGAAAGCGCTTTAAAGTCAGGAAGCTTTATCTCAAGTTTCAAAGAGGAGATGAAGACCTACTCTCCCTGCAGCAAACAGATGGCAGCCCTTCACCGTCTCGAAGATATAGGGAGCCAGTTCAGACTGGCTGGGCAGGTGGGACTGAGCCAGAGACTGCTTCACTCTCTTAATCTCCACCAGACACAACGCCCTCTCGTCCCCTGCAGCGCACACAGACAGCCGTTACACTGTAGCTGATGCTCCAGCAGGACAAGACAATTCCCATATTAGTCACCATGCTGTCCTGTGTGACAAGATGAATCACATCTACAAGTTCCACCGGAATTATTAGACGGCAGTCTTTTATTATTAGACGTTCACTCTCAAAGTTTTTAATGATGAATAATAATTGTAGAGCCCTCAATTATGCCAGTTACTTTAAATGGCAGGGGATATTGGCTTTTTGATTCATGAACAACACTCACTCCCTGAATTGAATGAATTAAAAGTCTAGACTCAGATCCTGCTGCTCAGTAGACAGTTATCATCTATTGAGAATAGCAAAGCTGGACATCTCACCAACAATCATCAGCAGTTTCTCCTGCTCTTTGATGATGTGGATCTGAAAGACTGATCCCAGGCCAGGGATGTGAGTTAGAGAGTTCTTGATAACATTCAGGGCATACAGACCCTCTTCAGAGCCCACCATAACTATCTGCAGCACAGCAAGAAAACATCATTAACACAAGCATCATTATTTCGGTGAACATGGTGCAATTTCAAACAGGAGCAACATGTGGCAAACCTTGGCAGTGAGCCTCGAGCATCTGCTCTGTGCTCCATGCCCCTTCATAAATTAAGATCATTCCACGTTTGAAAATAACTGCTACTGTGGATCAAATGTGTTTTCTAAATGATCAACATGACAAAATGTCTAAAAACAGCAGATTTGTTATTGAGGAAATACACAAAAAATATGTTTACTGTATGTGCACACTAAACTCCAATACACGTGTTTCAATAAAATGTCATCTATGCCAGTACCTGATCTGTGAGGGGGAGGGTGCAGTTGATGTCCAGCCTATCGTCTCCCTCCAGCTTCAGGAGAGAGTTTCCGAGCAGCTTCTGTAAGAGCAGAGAGGGGTGAGGGGTCAGCAGGGTCACGACCTCAACGCAACCTCGGGGGGACGCAACAGAGGGGGCCGGAGGGTGTGCAGGTTAACAGTGTCAGAGGTGGGACCAAGTCACAAGTCAGTCTCCGGTTTTAAGTCCCAGTGAAGTTATTGCATTGTTAAGCCTTGAACCACCTTTAAATTATTATCAGTTAAGACGTCCATTTACAGTAAAAGTACACTTTTAACATTTCTTTCCGTTAAGTTTTACAAAAGAAAAACTTGCATATACAAGCACATAAAAATAAATAAATAAATGAATAGGTTAAACAATTATCATGTAAAAAGACCTCATCAATATATAGTGTTATCAGTGAATTTCCTGTTTTGAAATTAACCTCATTAGTGAAAATGGGTTGTTTGGGGTCTAACATACTTCTGCTAGAGATGATTAATCCAGCTGGGTTAGAGGCACGATGAGTACAATTTGTGGTTGCTGTTTGTAAACACAACATTCAAAGTTGGCCCCACCTTCCCGGCTCAATGAGGGTCGGGGTGCTCGCCAGCGAGTGAAAGCTAACCCCAGATTCACTCTCGTTTTGGAACAAGCTTTGTCTGCTTGGTGTTTGGCCTTGCCATATTTGCAATTTTTCCGCGCTTTGTTTGCCATTTTCATAGCTTCCTCTCGGATGTGTGCTTACTATCTGGCACCTGGTCGCTACGTTTTTATAGAGGTTGACTCCCAGAAACGTCCCAAACAGCAATATCAAAATGAGGCGACTCACTCTAGACTGGCTAACCTCAATTTATATTGTGTTTATAATAGCAGCATGGGGAATTAATCAAGTCACATGTTAAAAGTTGGCGAAAATGATGAAGAAAATATTAGTTTCAAGTCATTCTGATACATGCCAAAGTCAACTCCAAATACTCCAAACTCAAGTCAAGTTAATTAAAAGTCGAAATTTATATTTCCCAGTTTGTCACAGATGAGTCGGTCCCGTGTCTTGAGTCCCAGTCTCTGAAGAGGGTGCAGAGGGGCAGCAGGGTAAAAACACAGACGAGTACACCAGCAGGTAAAAACCCACTGTCTGATCCCTGGTCCTCTGGGCAAGGACGGCTGAAGGGGATCAACCCAAAGATGATCAAACATCTTGGTGAGAAGTTGTGTACTGTGGTTATAAAACAAAACACCAAAGACTTGTTTCAGCTACATCGAAACTATTACATGAACGCAGAGTTTGCACAGGACAAGACAGTGCAGCAGAGAATAGTGAGAGTGAGGAGTGGTCACAGCAGGTGAGGTGAGAGCAGGGGGGGGGGGGGGAGGGCCAACCAACACAATGACAGACACATGCACTATTGCGTGCCTCGTGAAGGATCTGCAGGTGTGCGTGTCAGTCAGTCGAATGTCTATATCTTTGTAACTTTTTACCTGGACCAGAGGAGACAGAACCATTTGTCTTTTGGACACAGCAGCCTATGTTTGCAGTGAAACCCAATGGAATGGGTAGAATAGAGCAAATCAACAAAACATGCCCATATACCGGACATACAATGGGGCATGATGAAAACGCAACAAACAGTGAGAAAGACAAAGACAGAGGAGGGAAAGAAAAGAGGAGAGAAGAAGGTGACAATTAACGACACATATAAGTGAACTGGGGTTTTTTTTAGTTAAAACTCTAAACCTAAAGCCTATGTCTTTAAATTAATTTTCAATTTATGAATAGCCCCCACACAGATAAACAGTGAGATTACGACCACAGCCGTAGACAAGACAGTTGTCTGTGACTGTGATCATAACGGTTTATGATTAGCATCAGCAGACATCAAGGACACAGAGAACCAACTGCCCCGGTCGCCCCTCGCCTGCTCCAGAGATACTCACTGCGTCGGCCTCGGCCTTCTCCCGTGAGGCTCGCCCCCCGGCCACCACAGACTCCATGACAGCCACCCAGCGCTGTTTATCTGGGAAACTGGGAGCCATGAAGTACATTAACTGTCCAGGCCAGCAGGGGGTGTGACAACGGGACTCCAGCTTCAGGACGTAGGGAACATCTGACACATAGGTAAGGTATGCCTTCAGAATTTACACTCGTACATATTTTCATGGTTTCTAGTCAATTATTAACACTCTGGAATGCTGTAAAAGCCAAACTTGGGAAACAATAACTTCACTGGAATACATTTCTAAAAAACTATAGAATATAACAAAGTTTTGTACAAACAATACAAAAACTTTAAACAAAACTGCTGAGGAGAAGGGGAGGATGAAGGGATGAAGGGGAGGAAATAGGATAAAGAGATATTTTCTTTAGCTTGTAAATCAGTGTTGGGAGGGTGATTCCAACATACAGAGAACAGCACACTTTGCATATTGTACCTGACTTGGCGGTGTTGGGCAGTTCCGATGCCCCCACTGCTCCATGAACAACCACCTCTCCATCAGACAAACACAGGTCAAACTCTTCCAGTGGCTTCACTGAATCTGAATAACACACACAGAAACATCTTTAACTGATCCGCTCTGGTAGATCTATGAAATGCTGCTGTGTGTTGTTGTGTTGCACAGGTAAAAGAAAGAAACCTTCTCTGGGCTCTATCTCGTAGATGGACACTTTAGTCCCATCCAGGACCATGTATGTTCTCTCCCAGCCCTGGCCTCGCTTCCCATTCCTGCAAACACAAGAAGCAACTGCATCAGTACAGAGCATAGATGATCAAATGGATCCAACTGTTTTTGTCGGAAACTAAACAAATGCCTTTGTTTAAACTGGTTTTAGTACCAGATGGGTGGACTTTGCCAGACAGAACATAACTAAGAGTGCCTGAGAGAACTTGATCAGTAGGAAGGGATGACACAGGCTCACAATGAGGGAGCACAAAAGAGAATTACTGTGTATCGCACAAATGACAGATTTACAACATGACGTGTATGTACCGAAATAGTAAAAGTGAATGGCACAGATCAGTGGGAGAAAAGCTTAAACAATGACATTATTGTGCCCATAGCGAACCTGGGCTGTTTCATCCAGCCCTCCAGGTGCATGTGTCCGCTGGCCTCTTTCAGCTGTTGGCCTGGGGAGCTGCCTTTGTCCCGACACAGGCCCTCAGGCAGATGCAGGGAGCAGTCGCTGGACATGCCACACGTGGCTGAGAGGCAGGGGGAGCATTTTGGGTGGCATAACGTGTGACATTCTGAGGAGGGAAACAACAACAGTGTTATAGAGAGCAATCTCCAACATATGAACAGTGAAAATGTAGTATTTACCAGCCACGACAGCGATGCTGGTATTGTTTTCACCTTGTGAGTGTGTGTGTGTGTGTGTCATCATGGCAAAATATTGTCCTGGACCACCTACTGTAGCGGGAACTACCAGAGGCGGTTTTGAGTGCTTTGCTAGATGTTTATGTTTCTGTCTGTGGACAGATTCTGTCAACGCGTTAGCGTCACAACCGAGCAAAATGAAGTCATGAAAACTTCCAGGTGTGTAGTTGAGATCCAAATGAAGGTAGTGTTTATTTGTGAAGATTATCTTGATGAACAAATTGTATAAATATCAGAAACTTGGTGTGATCCTACTGCAAATGGTCTCTAGTTTGAATTTGTCATCAGTTCCTTTATGGATAAAACTGACATCTTGTTTTACATGGGTTTTTTTTCAAAGTCAAAAATGAAAGACTCGAATCCTGGTCTTAGACACAAAAATCCAATGTTATTAAAAGGTTAGACAGAACAATGGGAATGAGTGAGAGGCAACAGCAGCACCCATCCCCATAGTTTCACACATCAAACCGTCCCAGTAGAAAATACATAAAAACTAGAATTAGGCAGGCTAAAGTTTCAAAAAGTTTTTTGCATAAAATCTGCAACTCACCGAGACAGGTAGCAGCCTGGCGCCCAAAGTGCACAGTATCCAGGCACACCGTACACTTGGCAGCTCTCATGTTGAGTCCCACTGTGAAGCGGTGAGGGGTGTTGTGGTGCACCACCCTCTCTCTCTCCCTGTCTCTGTCTCTCTGACTGTCCTTCAAACGACGGCTAAACTCTGAATACAGTCAGGGGAACACAGTGAGGGCAGGCAGCTGTGTGTCAGGTACATCAACATCACTTCAAAACCTCAGTGCACCATGCCATACCTGCTATGAAATCAGTCCAACAAAAGAAGGCTTCCAAAAGAACTTTAAGCTGTTCAGCAAAAAAATGCATAAGCAAGTAAAGTCTGGAGACAAAGGTGGTTGAAAAAGAATATTGGTTTGATCAATCCCTTGTGCTTGTGCCCTCTCACTGTTGCATTTTAAAAGGCATTATCCAGTCAGTACCAAGTTTCCCCACTGTGTGTCCACCCCAACATTTACTTGTAGATAATTATCTAAGATCCATGTTTTGGAATGAAAAATAAAGCAAACAACTCAAACAAGAATTTATTTCTCATTTTATTTCTTTATTTTATCGTCCAGGCTTAACTTGTTGTACGACTTGTTGTAACTTTGAAACTTTTGCCAGAAGAAATATGTTGACTGAATAATACCTTTAGTTTTTTTTTCACAGTGTGGGTGCAAACAGCGTTTTGTGCATTGCAGAGTTTATAACATGGTACATCTCTGTTTGTGTATGACGTGAAGTTCAGGTGGGATTGCAGTGAGTTCAAGAGCAGAGCAGAGTTCTGCAAATCAGATCGGCTAAAACAAAATGCTTCAGATTTCTAAAGCTGTGCACTCTCTCAGCTTCACTTGACCAGCCTGGTGGGATCTCACGTTTTTATAAAAGTGCAGAGCTTTTAAAATCTGGCCTTTCAAGGATGTGGATCAGGCAAAAGGAGAAGAGAGATAAGAGACCAAACTGAGGAAACCATAAGTTTGGACAACTTACTTTCAAAAGTGACCCTCCTTCTCTCTGAAATGTGTGTGGAAGAAAAAGGATAGTAAGAGTTTCATAAATGATCCTTCGCGAGTGACATTATATGTGTGTGTATCTATGCGTGTGCACGTGAGGGCCAGTACATGTCAAGTATGACGCTATAAACCTGCATGTGTGTGCTAGAGAGAAAAGGCTGCTCGGTAAACATCATCCCTTCACTCACCCTCAGGTGTTGCAGTCACCTTCCTGCGTTCTGAGTTGGAGGGTGCCAGGTTGGTCGGACCCTGCTGGTGCTCAGGAGACTTCACCATGGCAGACATAATCATCTGCTGCCGTGCTGAGGCCGGGTTTGCAGCGTTACCATGATCCTTATACTGGAGTCCTGGGGTTGGAATAATTGATTCATTGAGCTTATATCATTTTTTTTTAATCTATGTGTATGATACGTTGTTTTATCATGCTGAATACTGTAAACTTTCTGTTTTTCAAAGAAGATACTGTTAGAAGCCGTCTCACCTTCCTCTCTCAGAGATCGCAGCTCCGCTCTCATTTTCTGCAGGGCCTCCTCCAGGTCAGAGCTACGGGAGCGCTCTTTGTCCAGAGCTATTTTCATGTCGCTGTATTGCAGAGGCACCGGCTGGATGGAGGGCACAGGGGAGACCTGGCCTTGACTCTGACCCTGACCCTGAGCCTGAGCCTGAGCAGCCATGGCAGCCAACAGGTCCTCTCGACGACGTCCAAACAGACCCTGAGACACAGGAACCACAGTTGTGTAAAACCATTACTTTGCTCCTTACTTTCCCATTGGTTCTGACTCTAATTCAGTTTCTATTTGGTGATCATCTACAACTCTTTCTAAATGTGCAAAGAGACTGCTGGAAGTTGTAAATGACAGTTTATGAATAAATTGACTAAAACATGGATGTCCTAGATCTAAGGAATTATCAAACTTGTCATATTAATTAAAAGCCCCAAATTTAGATTTTTTTTGAACACGTAAAAATAATTATCAATCACCTAATCATCACTTTGTCTGTTTGCTATCTCAGATATCCCAACTTGCAATCAGTCTACTTAATTATCTAATCATCCTGACTTTTTGATTTAATAATACTTTCATACTTTACATTTTTTTCTCAACTCAATTCTGTTTTCAAAGGTTTTCAAAAACATCCAGACTTCTGTAGGAAGACAGACAAATTATACTCAATCCAATTAGACACATAATTTCATCTGACCTTCTTCTTCTTGGAGCCCCCATGAGCCTGGGCCTGGAGGAAGTCTATGAGCTTGGTCTGCTGGGTGATGGTCCCCTCCATTTTCACCTTCTCATGGGAGTACACAGCCTGCAGGTGGAGCTAAATGAACATCACTACTGCCATGAATTTCTCCTCAAGTACTTCACTTCACACAGAGAGGGTGACAGGGGAACGGGGGGTGGATTTGTTTATGTGTCTTCAACAGTGAGGGAGAAACAAGACTGCAAATGACAGAAAGTCCAGCAGGTCTACACGTGCATGCACCTCATAGACTCACATGTGTTTTTAGTGAGTATATGTGTACGTGTGTGTATGTGTGTGTGTTTAGCAGCACCTGGATGTTCTCCAGCTGGTATTCCAGGTCAGTCCTTTCAGTCTTCAGCAGGTCAGTCTGGTCCAGAGCGTCCTGCAGCCCCTGGGTCAGACGGAAGATGTGGGTCTTCTGGGCGTCCATCTGCTGCTGCAGTTTCTCTTGCTGTGGACGTCAAACAGCTGCTGCATCACATGCTGGACGAGGCAACTTTGCCTCTTGCGCTTCTTACTACTATATGTTACAGCTATGACCTTACAACCAGAAAATCAAGTTCATTTTTCTGTTTGATTTGCAGTAAGGGTAAAAAAAAAACCCACCAAGACATGCAGTAATTATACCACATTTAAACATTTCAATTTGTACATAATACACAAAAGAAAACAACAGAGGTCGTGGCATAAATACATTATGTACCTCCTCCAGCAGCCTCTGTTTCAGATCCCTCTCACTCTCCAGCTTTTGCTGCAAACCGAGGGCGTTCATCTCCAGCATGGCATGCTTCTTCTCCAGATCATTGAACTGAGAACAGAAAGTTTGCTGTAACTTGCTAAAGAAAAATACGGTAAATTAAAATACTTATTTAATATGGAAATGCTTACAGTGTCGACAAGGCCCTCAGCTTTAAGTTTCTGGTCTTTGAGGGCCTGTTGTAGGGCCAGGATCTCAGCTTTGTGCTCCTTAACTGCCTTCTCCACAGCTTGGCGAGACTCAGAGTTGCGCTGCTCTGAACGAAGCCTGGAGTATACAGCAAACCATTGTTGACAGTGTTTTAATATGCTTTCGTGTACCCAGTTCTCATCATACACCATGCACTCATGAGTGATGTGTTCAAGGAGTTTACTGTAACCTGTTCTGTTTCTCTGTGTCCAGCATTCTCTGGATGTCCCTGGTCCTCCTCTCAGCCTGGTTCTTCTCGTCCTCCAGTGTTGACCTCCAGGCTTCCCACTGTCTCTCCTTCTCCAGCAGCTCGTCATTCAGGGTCTCCAGCTCCAGAACCTGCTCCTCCAGCATGGTGCACGTGGTCTTCAGTGTCTCCAGGTTCTGATATAAAAACAGGATTTAGATGAGAAACACTGTTGATATCCGAACGGTGCCAAGGACACAATTCAACATCTCAAGTTGTTATTATATTTATATATATATATATATATATATATATATATATTTTTTTTTTTTTTTTCTTATAAGCAAAAAAAGAGGCCGTTTTATAATGAAGAGATAAAGACAGAAATATAGTTTAACAGCTTCAAAGGTAATGAAGGACTTCTGTTGTCGAAGGATTATCGCATAGCCTCAAACACTATAACTGCTCATTGACTAATTAAGAAATGAATCTTTCCCCCTGCATTGGCCTTGTTATAAAATAAGGATCTTGTGGTGGTGATGTATTTTCCCTCTGCTTGGTTTGGGAAATCCCTTGGTAGCCACTTCCCCTCGGGAGGGTTGGAAGGACACTTCTTTGGGAGGCAGTGACAAAGTGCTATTCAACCCACAGCTTGGGGGTTCTGTCCCCTGACCATCACTTAGTGGTAGAAGTATCCAGATCCTTATAAGTAAAAGTAGCAATACAACAATTTCAAAATACATTTACTACAGAATAACTACCATCAAAATGAATTTGAGTGTTTACAAAGTAATATTACTAATATTGCAGGAAAATGACTCATATTACTATATTTTACATCATTTTATTCATTATGGTACATCATCACAAAGGCAGAGTTTTAGTGTTGTAGCAGGTATACACATTTTAACTATGTTACATTCTGTTGGGTAGTTCCTCTATGACTTGAAATCAATCATATGTTTTGTATGTAAAATCTATTTGTTAGTCAAATTAGCTAAATAACTAGTAACATAGCCGTCAATCAAATGTAGTGGGATAAAAAGTATAACATTTATGTCTGAAATGTAGTGGAGTAATTAAGGAAGCACATGTAAAGGAAGTGCTCATGTAAAGTTCAGGTAGTAGTGGGGTTTAGTCTTCTCTCCAGGATTCTCACCTGCTGTAGCAATGAAAGGAAGACCTGGCGAGGCAAGTTCTAGCATGGCGTATAAAAAATGGCATTACACAAACACGAGATGTCCACTCCCTGGTCTTTCTCCCACCAGAACCTGCTGGTCACAGGCCATCATGCAGAAAGGTGAGCGGGGTTAAGAAGCTGTATTTATAGTAACTTCTTCGTTCACATGTCAGACATTCAGTCAGGCATAGCGCCATAACATAGCACCGTGCCTAAAATAAATCACAATCCCAGACACGGGGGCTTATGGGGAGAATTTGATGGCAGCTTAAACAACATAGTTTGGCAACTAACTTACCATGTAAATGACTGTGTACCTACAGTTTTAATTAATATCTCCTCAACTGCAATTAGAAAAACAGCATTGGTACTCCTGTGGAGATATTTACATGACATGTTTGGCCACGGAACGTTTTGTTATTCACAGGGCGTACACAAAGTGCTGTGTCCTACAACGCACTGCTTCAGACAAAGCATTGGGAGACAAATATAGCCTGTGCTGGTGCTGCAGCAAAACCACGGCCCTCTGAAGTCCAACGCTTCCACAGCTGACACGACCTGGGAGTGATGGGGATGACACATCCCTCCCACACACCACCCCATCCATCGTCTATGACTTCCATTGCTGGTTACACAACCAGCAGGACGGAGAGCGCTACTGGACACCCACACACAGATCCTCCCACAGGGGCAGCACACACATCACACAGCCTCCTCGCTGCATCCAGAATACTGCACATAACAATGCTGAATTATTCCCAGGGTTTCTGCTGCCTGATTTACACTTAACACTGTCAGAGCTGAGAGAGATGTCTAGGTCACCTGTCAAAGGTAGTGCGGAGATATCACATAATGTGAGTAAGTGGCAACCTGGTGTCTGACTGGCTGTGAGTGGGAAGTGGGCAAGGGGAAGGAACCTGAACTGAAAGAAGGAGCACAACTGTCTCAGACAACAGACAACTGTGGGTTGTCTCTAATGGCAGCTGATATTTTGTGGCAATTTTCATGCAGAAATAAAAAAAACAACTATTTGACTATAGTGGTTAAAAAAACTGGCTCAAAAGTTTGATTGTTTGTGTTTCATTTTGAGCCATTTTAGGGCACAAACTCCTCTGAAACCGCTCTGAAATACATCAGTATCAGCCAATTCTCTCAACAAATCAATACAACGCACCAATTTTGGTTAATTGAGCATTGCATGTCCACCCGACATTCCTTTCTTGGGACTGTTGAAGAAAACCAACATGAGAGGAGAAGGAACACACACATAAACCAATAACCACAACATGACCACCAGCAGCCCCGGTACCTGTTTCTGGTTGTTCAGGTGCATTTCACGGTCAGCCACCTCCCGGCGCAGCCTATCCACGTCCTGGCTGAGATGCAGCCGGTCCTCTCTCTCGTCGGAGGCCTCATCCAGCTGCTTGGACAGGTAGAAGTTCTGGCGGTTCAGCTCGGCATTCTCCTGAGCCAGTGTGGTCAGCTGCTCCTCCAGATCTGTGATTACCTGCAGGAAGTCAACAGGACTCCTGACCAAGAGACGAACGACGACTAATAAAACAAAATCAGGATTTTCTGAAATAATTTCTGCCCTTTAAGGTTTTTTTGTCTTTGTTTTGTCTCTATAGACAATAACGAATATAATATTTCTGTCTGAAACCGATATGACTGTATTAACATTAATTATACATTAGGTTTTTTACATTTAAAAAAGGCTACATTCATTTGACAGGTCTTGCTTACATTGTGCATATAGGCATAGCATTGAGCATATTATTATTGATCTACACAAAAACGTTACCAAACACCCAACACAGTCTCTACTGCTGCATTATTACATGATGCAGCAATCTAGGTTAGTGATACAATGCAGCAATCATTTTAGCATGATTTCCAGGCTGCTTGTTTGACTGAGGCAGCATTCGGAGCGGGCTAATCATTTCATCAGCATCAGTCTCGTTCCTTAATCAGCCATGACCACTGTCTAGGGAAATGAGGGTCAAAGGCTGGTGAGGCTGCCTGTAAGAGCTCCTTATTCTCAGCTCTCATGGGAACATGTGTACCACGCACAACTTCCAGGTGGCGGAGGGGGGGGAGAGGCAAAGCTTTTAAGTCCATAAATTAGCTGTCTGTTCTGTACTGACTCAGTGCTTCTGCTCCCCCGAGGCAGGAGACTGACAGCAGCAACTAAATACTTAAGGCGGGGCGAGGAAGTCAAAGCTGCAATGGATACAGTGGTGATCCGGGAAGCCTCTATATTTACTTTACTTGTCTGTCATCCCGATCTATAGAGCAACTTGCAGACTTAAAGTAAATCACATCCGGAGCTTTGCATCCTCAGCACAGCTGAATACAAATTGCTCAATGCTCTTTGTGAAGGCCGCGGGTGTAAAGCAAATAAAAGGCCCAGCTTAAGGCTGTTAATCAATCTTGGAATTTCCTTGACTGAAATGAATGTTACATTTACTGTACACTGCTAGTACAAAATACAGAAGAACATCTGCTCTTTCTATGAAACAGACTGAGCAGCAGAGGTGCCGTGGAGAATGAATCCACCTAAAGTTGGTTTTCTCACAATTTATGAATGTAACCACTTTTAGAAAAAGCATTGCTACTGAGATATGGGTGGCTGATATGGATACAACTGCAATATATAGAGATAAAGTCAATTTGCAGTTAATTGTATTGAGAAAATATTAACTAGATGGAAATGTCTTTCGGTTGATCCAGTCCTCTTTGATTTAAACATGGCTCACAACGGTCTCATACAACCAAAATATGAAAGGATGGCTACTTTAGTAGAGACAGTACAACAAAATCTCTGACGGTTGAAAAATGTCTATAGTCCCAGAATATTACATTGTCTTATTGCTAACTCTAATAACTCTAATAGTAAGCTATCGTCACATAAATCAGATAGAATGGGGACTTATAAAAGTCTAAGCGCGCCACTCTGAAATGTCATTATTACACAGTCAATATCAAGTTGATCAAATTTTTTGTTTTACCTAATATTAGCCCGGTATATTTAGAGTTAGGTAAGATACCAAAAATGAATCGGGACTAACTGGCCCTCTGAGGCTACACTTCTCCCATATTACAAAATCAAACCCATAATACAAAATAATTGGACACAGCAAAGAGCATACTGACAGTGTGAGTATTTCTGCAGTCTTACCAGTAGTGTGGCTAAAAATAAAATGCATGCGGTCAGCAAATTTCATTGCAGTCGGCTGATTATGGGATGTCTTGTGTGCAAAGTTGACATTTTGGCCTGAAGATAGCACAAGAGGAAAGTTCAAGGTATGTCCAAAATGAAGTTATCCTTTGAGGGGCAGAACGTGTTCAGAATGTCAGAATGTCTGTCTGTGCAAATGGAAACAATAGCATGATGTACAGTCAGTGCTGAGGTAGATCGGGCTAAAACTGGCAAGGAGTGGCAAAAATGCTTACAATGAACATATTTAAAATACTGGTACTGGAATAATTTTGTTTATGTACATATAAAGGGCTATTGAATCTTAAAACATACTCAACTTTGTATATTAAAACAAAATGGAAGACGAACAGAGTGAAGTGTACCAGATCACATAATTGGAGGGAGTTTGGGAAATGTGTGTCTTGCTGGGAAAACTGGGTTGACAATGTGATGCCCCCATAGGCCAGATTTTTGCAAGACGATGATTTTCTGGTGACAAAAAGATAACTCTCTAATTGAACATAGTCTTCACTATTTTCATTTTTTATTTTTCTCTGTGCTTGTGCCATAAATCTCAAAATAGGGCATTTCAGAGACACATAAATGAATAATGTATGCACGCCTCAGTCCAAAGTGTTCAAATGACAGACTAACGGATAAACAAACATTGCAAGTCTCAGCAGGGCAAAATATAGAGTACCATTTCAAGATCTGCTTGTTGCAGATTTTGTCTGAACATTGGCCAGCTGAATCTATGGACAGTGCTTTCTGAACAGTTTGCCAGTGGGAGGATCTCCGAGGTAGGGCAATGGAATAAAGGAAGACCATAATGGTCTTGGTGATTATTCCGGGTAAATGAGTTTGTAGGCATTCAAATCAATGACAACATCATTTCCTCAAGGTTAGCGGGACACCAGGGCTGCACAATAACATCACCTCTTATTGTCCAACAATATAATGGCCTTCTGATTATAACAGGCTTTAACAAAGCCCTCATCGTCTGTAAAACACAGTTATTGAATAGCTACATTCACTGAAAAAAACCTTTCGAGAGTTAATGATGTATCTTGGAGCATCAGGTTGACATCACATGATGCCTTATTATCAAAACCTCTGGTGACAAGATAGTGTGGTTTTGTAACAGAGGGGAATTAAGTGTCTCTGCAGACACGGAAAAGAAAATAATCAAACAATGACAAATTGAAAACTCTTCTTGCTAATTCAGCCAGTATGTGTGGACTGTGAGATGCTGTGTTGGCTGAGTAAATCACAGTGTTTCCTGGTACCGTTTATCACAAGACACCATGACGCACGAAAAAACGAACCAGAATGTTCAGGAGCCAAACAACATTGTTAACAGGATAACAGCCATTATCTTCCTGTTACTGTTCCTACGGGGCTTGTTTTGGTAATGGTAGCTCACTTAGTTGTTAATGTGCACAAATGCCATCGTGGAAACAAACAACTCAATTGAGGATTAATCTCCCACTGCCAACAGAAATCCTTACTTTGGCCATAGACACAATGTTTTGGGACGTCTCTGAAAACAGTGTGGAGCTATGGTCATGTTTCCACCAACCGAGAGCAGTTAGTGCTATATTCCCAACAACACGGACCAAAAGGAAGATGACTGTGATGAAATGGATTATGTGGTTAAGTCACAGGGAGTCACTCTGTGATTTATGTAAGTAGAAGAGAAATGAAGCCCTATTTACCCAAGAATGACAGAAACACATATGGACTGAAATAGTATGGCTTGGTTGTTAGTTATGTGTGATGATGTGCGAGGATTCAGCTGGAGTGCAATGCCAGAAGATGTGTCTATTCCTGGAAAGAGGAAGACGAGAAAGTATAGTGAGCGGCTTACTGCACAGCTGTCTCTCAGGGCATCAAACTTGCGTTGTATCTCATCTCTGTGTGCCTAGCAGGTATGACAAGAGAGACACAGGGACAGATTTCAGATGCCTGAGTTACATAACATCACAGGAGACGTGATCTTGTGTACCCTTTTACTTTCTCTCTCTTACTCGGAGTACAGTGATCTCCTCCTCAGCCTCTGCAGTGGTCTCCTCCAGCTCGGTCTTGGCCTGCCGTAGTTGGTTCTCCAGAGCGTGGCGAGCTGCCTGCAGATTGCTGATCTGGGATTCACGCTCCTGCAGCGACAGGGTCAGATCTGAAACCTGACGTTTAATCTCCAGCTTCTGTTCCTCGTTCTCCAGCCCAATCTACAAAGGGAGACAGAAAAGGGCCATCCAAGGTGAGTGGAGGAGGAAGTGACTGTGCAGAGGGGCAGACTCTGACTATTCACCTCGACTCTGTAATCCACGTATTGAGATTTATAGCCTATAAAACTCACTTTCTGAAGTATTTTAGAATGTTTCAAAATAAAAGTCCTCTTCAAGATCCCTGCACTGATCACATTACACTCCGCTTCACAATCCCAACAATGCCATGTCATATGTCACATTTATGTATTGTACATAACATTTTTTTAACCTTTTTTATTGCTTTTCTTAAATGTGTATTTTAATTGCTTCTTATATTTTGTTATTATATTTTTAACATCCATCTATTTTTCTTTTATGGAGCCTCCCAGCGAAAGCATTAACTGGAGTTACAATAAACTTCTTGAATCTTGGCCAAAACCTCCATAATAATAATTTTAAAACATTTTATACGTTGTATGTGGTTTAACCTGCGTGTCTATCAACACATGAATCCCACTTCACAACCAGCTTTCTGCTCCATCTCCCTCTAACACCTCCTCACCTCTCGGAGCCTAGTTTCCTGCTCCAGCACACGGCTCTTATTGCTTTGCTCCTGCTGACTCATTTTCTCTAGATGCTCCTCCAGTTTGGCATTCTGGGCCTCCAACTTCCCAGCCTGAGACTCCAGGTAGAACTTCTGTTGTCGAAGCTCTGAGATCATCTCCTCCTGAGCTTTCCTGCCAAGATCACACATACTTGTGTGCAAAAAGTTCAATAGGAGGCAATACAACCTGGTATTGTGCAATTATGTGTACATATACTCCAAGGACAAAAAACAAAACAAGGTACTTTCCAGGTATCATTTTGTACAAGCAATGTCTTTAACCAATCTCTTTTCCATTATCTTATATTATGCCATTATGACCGAAGCTTATATTTTACTTGAGAGAATCAATAAAACTTTAATTCAGACATTACTTCATGGATAGAATATCTAGAGAAAAGCGTTTGTACTGCCTCTAATGTTTATTGTCGCACAGAAGTATTGTGCATCAGTACTTACATGTTTTTCTGTGTGTAGATACTGCTGTTGGCTGCCAGCTTGTTGGCCTCCGACAGCTCAGCAATTCTCTGCTCCAGGCTGTTCGTCTTAGAGTCCATAGCATTTATGGTCTGAACAGAAATTATATCTTTACATCACCGGCTTTGACTGGTTTCAGATTAAGGGTCATTATTTTGTGCTCTACAATAACCTACCCAAGATTATTCCAAACAGCAAAAATCTATGTCACTGTGATAAATGTTAAAATACCCCTGAGATAGTGTCGCTGCCAAGCCGGTCACTTCTTACCGCCTTCTGTTCACCGATGATGCCGCACTTCTCCCGCACCTCCTCCTCATATTTGCTCTGACTGGACTCCAGCATCTCCTTATCAGCCATGTCCGCCTTCATCTGGGCCTCCAACACCTGCTCAATGCCAGGCAGCCCACAGAACCATAACCAGGATATCACTTAACAGGACAGAGAATGGCGTGAAGATGACATACTGTAGATCTCCCAAGCATAGAGTACACCCACAACTCAACCAGCTAAAGTAGGGGCTCCAAACATAGCACAGAGCCATTCCTGCAAGTACAGAACTACAGGATACACCTGCCTGTTGCTTTACGTCTGCATGTGAGTATTTTACCTTTATCTTGTCTTCATAAAGCTTCTCCTTCTGCTTCAGATGAGTCTCAAACCGCTGGGCCATGGCTTGCGTCTCTCGCAGATTCTCCTCCAGCGCCTACGCGAACATACACATATGTTATGCATATGACTAAAAGTAGAAAAAAGTACCTTCTTTATTTTGTTTTTTTAAAGGGTAATGTACTGTACAAACCTTTTCTGCCACAACAAAAAAAATCAGTGAGGCGAGTAACGATGACTGTAGAACAAATATTTAACAGTAAAATACTGAATCATTTGAATTAGTCTCAAAGTAATACTGTATAATATCACATTGCGTGAAAGAGGTAATATTGATTTAAATGTGGGATAAATGGTTTCCATTCAACTGGAATGGACCGGTAACGTTTTGATTGATACAGTCGTGTGATGCAGAGAAGACGTACTGCCTGAGTTTACGTCAATGTGAACAGTGCTGGTAATGGCATACTTATGGTTAATTCAGTAAACAGTATGCATTACATATTGATTGAGTATGTAGTATGCAGTGCTAACAACCATAGTCATCCACATCAACAAGCTCCATCTGACTCTTTCTAGACGTTTTTCACTTGTTATAGCAGGAAAACACAACTAATACACAATATTCAAGCTATTATAACTATTAACTATGTATGCAGGGGAGTAAGATGATGAGATCAATCTCTGTGAACTAGAAATAATCATAATTTGCATAATTATATATAGGATAGGATTAATTATATACTATGTCTCACCCTTACATATGCAACAAAACTAACAGAAGAGTAAGAGAAGATGTTGATCAAACACAGCCAGTATACGCCCACACTAACTGAAAGCCTTTGTGTGGATGTGTAGGGACAATATTATGGAAAACTACATTTTATTATTATCATATATTGGTAACTTTGTGCTCTGTGTATATGGAAACAACAGTTATATAATGTTTTACTTCCAGATCATCCATAAAGATAGTAAATGATAAACATGAGGTTTTAAATATTATGTAAAATAGCACTTCCTCTGCAAAGATGACAGTGAGCTATGTTTATCTCACACCTCCTCTGATTATTTTAGCTCCACACAAGTGGTGAAAGGTGGGTTACCAGAATCTTATCTGCCATCTGCTGAATGTGCTGGGCCTTGCTCTGGATCTCCTCCTTTAGTTTAGTCTCCCGACGCTCGACAATCTCCAGCCTTTTCACCTGGTTCTCAAGAGTCTTCCTTCCATCCTGCACAAAACGGGCACAAGTGTAACATTCAAGTGTAAACTGACTTATTGAATATTTCTTTTAGTTTTAAAAATGCAACCATGAGTTTAAAAGATCCATAGTCTGAAATAATGCTTTTTTTGGTATGTGAGCATCAATGCACATTTTCAAAAAATGCTAATAAGACTTAAGATTACCACTTAAAGGAGGAATTGATGATATTATGTAGCAGCCGCATCCATTCGGCTTGTTAGTGATGCACCTCTCCAATGTTTATATCTCATTATTCCAGTTCCTCACAATGGTTCCAAAGAGCCCATTAGCATTCATGTGAGATGATGTGAGAGGTCTTCGGAGCTGTTTAAACTTGACCATGTGAGTATTGTCTCCCGTCCAAATTAACCAATGCTAATTACCAAATTTGCATGTCTAGTGCTTGATGTGAAGTGCTGTTTAAGAAGAACTCATAACAACCCCCCTCAAAACTAAAGTTAAATATATATACTGTATATGTATATGTAACTTCATAAAAAATCTGATTGGTTCATTGCTTTCACAAAAATGAGATGGACGTACGGTCACATTGCGCTTGACTTTTGACAACCAAATTCTAATCAGTTCATCATTGAGTCTAAATGGACGTTTGTGCCAAATTTGAAGAAATTCAATGAAGGTGTTCCTAAGATATCTCGTTCATGGGGCAGGCGGACGGACAACCCGAAGAACTAGCTTAAAGACCCTTTGGTTTAGTTTTACTGTGTGAGCCTTACAAACATGTGAAAGCAAGATAGCTTCACAAAAACCACATGAGCACAGACATTTACTCTTCAAACTGTGATTAACTGTGTCAAACATTCAGGGCATCTGACATGCTATCATGCCATCACAGCACAAGTGTTCCTCAGAAGGTGCAAAAACAACATGTTTACAAGAGAACATGTGGATTCTTTGTGCTTAGCAGACACCCAAGCCAGATTCATATATATATATATATATAGATATATATATATATATATATATAGATATATAGATATATATATATATATATATAGATATA